GAGAGAGAGAGAGAGAGAGAGAGAGAGAGAGAGAGAGAGAGAGAGAGAGAGAGAGAGAGAGAGAGAAATCATGTTCCTTATGCATGACGTCCTTATGTTTTTTGTTTGGCTCATCTTCTTCGTTTACGATGGACAACGACTGCGTGTCCCTGTTCGTCGGATGTTGTGGAGAGACGTTTCCCCGTATACTTGTGTTGGCATGCGGCACAAGCATGGCTCGCATTGGAACTGACATGGTGGGGGAGGTGGTATGACATGCGAGTGGCGCATTTAGGGTTTGTGAGGTGGTGGCGGAGTTGCTCATCACGTTTCTTTAAGTTCGCATGCACTTTCAGGGTTCAATTGTGTTGGCTGGTTTGTGTCTTTCGCCCTCTGCTTTCCTGCGAAGTGTGGATCTCAGATTGTGAAGAGAGTATGTGCTTTTGTGTGGCTATTTTTTGTCGTCAGTGGGTGTGCGGATGTCGATTACATTCGGGTTCTGTACTGTGTCGAACACATATAAAGCTCATGTGCAACAAACTTTTGTTGTCTGCTTCGCCTCATCCATGAACGATTGTAAAACTGAGAAAGCAAATAAACACACACACTTGTTATCTTTTGGGAAAACCCGTCACGTAAAGCCAGGGCAGCGTCGGTTGCGCCCGATTGCGACACTGGTCGTGGCGGATCTTGCAACCCCAGATCGACATGAACCAGATTGCCGTTCTCGTCCGGCTCGAGGAGGACCGAGTCGTCGAACGGTATGCCCGCCTCAAGCAACAAGTTGTGGATGATACAAACAACCAGAAACTGCTGAGGCAGACTATCCATGTTAGTCTTGTGATGGCGGAGGAACAACCTCCACATCCCCTTCAAACGCCCGAAAGCCCTCTCCACGACTCCTCTCGTCGTCTTCTGCCGCGTGTCAAACAATCCGATGTCCCCTGCTTGGTTTGTCCCCCTGTAGGGGACCACCATCCACGTTCTCGGCGAGTAGCCGTTGTCCCCAAGCAGGTACCCTGTTGTGGACACCCCCCCTGGCAGCAGAACAGGTTCCGCGACGAAGAGCTCGCCTGCCTCCGCACGTCGAAAGAGTGAAGAGTTTCTCAGAACCCGCTGGTCGTGGACGCTCCCCGGGTATCCCATGAACACATCGAGAATTCTCATGTCGAGGTCGACGACAACTTGGGCGACGACCGAGAACTGCTGTTTTTGATCGAAGTAGTTCTCCAACGGTGCGTTGGCGGGCTTATCCACGTACACGTGCGTGCAGTCGATTGCGCCGAAACAATTAGGGAAGCCCTTCGCCCCGAATGCTCGGGTCACCTGCAGCAGCCGACGGCCGGACGGCATGGCGACTTTGTCTGGATATGCAGCCAGTATTGCATTGGCGACGTCCGTCACGACCGTCACCCCGGACGACCTGCCGATGCCGAAGCTCGACGAAGTGTTCTCAAACGTCTCCCCGGTGGCCCACTGGTATAACGCGAAGGCGAAGATAAGGTCTGTCTGCAAGGGCTCGCGGTAGTGCGTCAGTCTACGGTCGATGAATGGACTGCAAGCCGCAACAATGTCCCCGAATATGGCCCTCGACAGTCGAAGCTTGTCATGGAAATATTCATCCGTCGTGTCGTCCACAATGTCCAAGTCTCGCCACGTCCCACCCGTTCGTCTTTTCATCCACCACTGCGGTGTGTCCCTGGGCAGAACACCAGCAACAATTGTGTTGGACAACAGGAAAGGAGCATCGGATAGACCGGACGATGTACAGACGTCTGCCAACGCCTGGGCTATGGCGGCCTCCCTCCTCCCCCTCCCCCTCCCCCTCCCACCCGCACGCCGGAACCCGTTCACCGTCTCCATGTACCGGCACACAGCGAGGACAGCACTGGCGACCATGCTCTTCTCACTGGTTGACAACCTCCTCGCCGCCTGTGGATCGCGCCCACTGTTGTCCATAGCTACACTACGCTGCGCACAAAACGCACACGACAGCGACATGCGAAGCCACGTGCGCACGCTCAACGATGGATGACGGGCGCGTGCACTACGGGAAACGCGACGGCGGGGAGTCCAGAAAGCGATGACCGCGAACGGAACTGGCGGGTGTGGAATTTGAATTCGAATGTTCGGGGTCCTAGCACGCTTAAACCTCCACGGCCGAATGACGCTGCGGGCCCGCGACAGGCCCACGCCGGCGTTGGGGAAATGGCAGGCCTGGGTTTCCCACGGGCCCAAGGCAGGCGGACACGAATTTGTCTGCCACAACACTGCGTCGGACACTTGCATTCGTTTCTCAGCCGCGCAATGCGCGAACAGGGGCACCTGAAATGTAAGTGCGATAAAGTGTAGGGTTTTCGTAAGTGGTTGTGGAACGAAAAACGGAGTAAGGGAAAACTAATCACATTTTCGGAGTAAGGGCGCCCTTACAAAGTTAGGGTTTTCTAGTGGTGTCGAACGAGGCCCTTTGCCGTCACCTCTCACCTCTGGAGGTGACTGCAAATGGCCTATTTAGTTTTTAACATTTTCTTCAAGAATTGGTGAAAATTCGGTCACCAAAGTTCTTGCACAATTTGTGGATGGCGTCGCGTGTGACCAGCGAAGTATTAAATCGCCATTGCTCAAGACGGGCAGGGCCTTGTCCCAGAAGTGCGACCCGAACCATGCCCAAAACTTGAAATCGGCCCTCGCAGTGTGAGTATGCCCTTAGGGTGGTCCCCTCCCAGTCTCACCAGCTACAGTTCGCGCCTGGTCTCTCCCTCTCTCCCTCTCTCCCTCTCTCTCCCCCCTCTCTCTCTCTCTCTCTCTCTCTCTCACACACACACACACACACACACACACACACACACGCGCACGCGCACTCTCTCTCTCTCTCTCTCTCTCTCTCTCTCTCTCTCTCTCTCTCTCTCTCTCTCT